AACCCCAGCCAGTTATTATTGAAGATATTGACAAACTGATTCTAAAGCTTATACTGAGAGATAAAAGATTCAAAATAGTCAACAATATTGAAAAAGAACAAAGATGGAGGACTGAAACTACCAGACTTCAAAACTTACTATAAAGTTACAATAATAAAGACAATGTGATTATTTGTGAAACACTAGACAAATAGATCAGTGGAACAGGTGAAATGTCAGAAATAGGCCCATTACAGTGCAGTCAACTTATTTTTGACAAAGGAACAAAGGCAGCACAATGCAGAAATGAGAGGCTTTTCAACAAATGGTCCATAAACAACTAGATATCCCTGTGCAATAAAGTAAAAATTAAAAAGAAGAATGTAGACATACACTTTACACTCTTCATAAAAAGGAACTCAAAATAAATAGTAGACCTAATATAAAATGGGAAATTATAACACTCCCAGAAGATAACAGATGAAAAAATCTACATGACCTTGGGTTTGAAAATGACTTTTTAGATTCACCACAGGCATGATAAAGTAAGAGTAATTGATAAGCTGGATATAATCAAATTTAAAATGTCTGTTCTGTGAAAGATACTGTCAAAAGAGTAAGAAGACAAGCCATGGGCTAGAAGAAAATATTTGAAAAACACATGTCAAATGACTGTTATCTAAAACATATCAAAGAACTCTTAGATGCAGCAATAAAAGAATGAAAAATCCAATTTAAATTAGGGAAAAGATTTCATTGGACATCTCACCAAAGATATATGATGGCAAAAAGCACATGAAAAGATCTTCCATACCCTATGTCATCAGGGAAGTGCAAATTGAAACAACCATGACACACCACTAAACACCTATTTAGTGGTCAGCATTCAAAACACCAAAATACCAAATGCCGGTGCCAATGTGAAGAAACACACACTGTCATTCATTGCTGATAGGATGGAAAATAGTACACCTTGGAAGGAAGCTAAGATTTCTTACAAAACTAACCATAGTATTACCAGCAACTACCAGATTATCAACCAAATGAGTTGATAATTTATGTCTACACAAAAACTTCACATAGATTTTTATAGCAGCTTTACAACTGCCGAAACTTGGAAGTAACCAAGTGGTTCTTTAGTAGCTATTGGATAAATACTGCAGAATATACAATCGGTAGAGTATTATTTAATGTTGAAAAGAAGTGAGCATTTAAGCCATGAAAAAATATGGAAGAATTTTTTAAGTATATTACTAAGTAAAAGAAGCCAGTATAAAATGGCTACATACTATATAACTACAACCATATGACTTTTGGAAAACCAAAACTATGGGGGCAGTAAGAATATCAATGCCCGTTATGGGTTTGTGGGGGGGGGAGGGGTGGATAGGCTGAGCACAGAAGATTATTAAGGCAATGAACCTACTCAGTATGATACTTATATGTCATTACACATTTAGCAAAGCCCATAGAATGTTCAATACCAAGAGTAAACTTTGAAATAACCTATGGACTGTGAGTGACAATGATATGCCAATGTAGGTCCATTGATTTTAATAAACATACCGTACTGGTGTGGGGTGTTGATAGTGGTGGAGGCTGTGCATGTCTGGAGGTGACGGTAATGGGAAGTCTCTGTACTTTCTGCTCAATATTGCTGTAAATCTAAAACTGCCCTAAAAATGGTCTGTTAAAATAGACTGTCATGGGCCACAAAACCCCCCACTATGAAATTCCAATTGTTTATCCACTTATTTGTAAAGTTGAAGGAACAGCTAGCAATTAAAACATGATTTACATTAAGTTAAAGGATAAAGTAGCATTTTAAAAGCAGCTGCCATTACTTGTATTATTTATTCATGGGATGCTGCATAATTGCAGAATTGTGCTGAATAAAGACAAATGTGTTTTCTTTATTGAAGAACTTACAGTCTAAAGATAGAATGGAAATTTAGGAACAACTTTAGCTTCTCAGGATCATCAAAACAAGCATTCTAATGGAAAGGAGTGAGTCCAAAAGACTCCAGTGTGGATAAGGCTTCTTACACAATATTTATTTTTATGGTACTTATACCTAATTGCACTTTGAGAAGAACCAGACTCTCCTGAATTTGGCCCAAGTGTTGGTCTGTATGTTTTTTATTAACTTGCCAAATATGGATGCATATTTCATGAATTTGATAATATTAAACAAATGACACTGAAATACACTCTAAACATTAAATTGTTCAAATATGGGAAGAGAAAGCTCTTGAGTCTTGCTGAACCATTATCAATCATCCAGAATTGTTTACTTCAATATAAAAGGTACAATGCTTGACAAATTTGGAAACAGTGGCATTACACAATTGAAACATTAATTTTTTTCTCTTCTAGATGTCTAAATGTATCTTCTGTGTTCCTATAACAAGGGTTTGGTGTACTTTTTTTGTTCTGCTGTTAGTGTTTTTTGTTAGTTTGTGTTTGTTTTTTGTTCTAACTGTTAGGGACAGATGAACTACTCCCCCTTAATTTTAAAGCTGAAGACATTTTCATCTTGAAGACTTTCTTGTTGCAGTTTCCCCGTTGGAGGAGACAGCTCGACATTGTGAGGCTGTAGAATATTACGATCGTCCTGTAAACTTTGTTCCACTACTTTTCCTTCCCACTTTCTGTTCCCATGATACTAAACTACTTCAAAGTTCCCCAAAGCACCAGCATTGTATTCTTCTCAGAAGTCACACACATACTCTGTCCTCCTTTCTCAATGTTCTGTCCTCCCTCTAACTGGCTCACTCTTAGCTTTTGACCTCTTCCAAGAAGCTCACCTTTCTTGCTGCCCACAACTTAAACACTCCATCTGCTTCTACCCCGTAGCTTACCCAGGACACCAACTATATGCTTCAAATGCTGCTATTAGTCATGGTGCCAAATTGCAACTTATTTCTTTTGCAGTCTGCCCTATCTTAGTGAGTGAACTTCATGTTTGGTTCGATGGCATAGTTTAATCATCTGTGTGTTCACATGTCTTTCACATTGCCTGTAATACTTGCTCAAGATATACTGGACAAATTTAAGTGATGGATACTGCCCCATCCTCATCAATGAGTGATGTTTTATTTAAAGTTCAAAATGTATTTGTTAATTGTTTAAAATGCATTCTGTGTTCTCACAACTAGAATTTAGCATCTTAATCATACATTGCCCAGGTCCTCCAAATTCCCTTTTAATTTAATTCCCTTTTAACTTAATATGCTCTTTGTTCTTGCAGTTTCTCCAAGTTGAGAAGTCAGTGTGATAGAGATGCATTAATGCAAGTAGGATTTGCCTAGACATCAATAAACTTGAAAGGCTCCCAGCAGGCCACTTGTAGTGTCAATAAAAGCTCATAATTACTTGCTCCTTTGAGCATTTTAGACCCACCCCCCTAATTTGCTCTGCTGTGAATATAAGTCTCCACAACTGAGAAGTTCTTAACTTCCTGAATCTTAGGCAAAGAATGTTAAACATTGCCAGGGACCTGGTTTCTTTTTATTCAGAAGAGCTGGATGTTATTATTATTTTAAGTTCTCATGGGACTGTTAACTCCTAACTTATTTTCCCGCTCTGCTCCAGCATACGATTGGCTGTGGGCCTCACCACTTCCTGGCTTGGCTTGTGGAGGTGTGAACCCCAAAAGGCATAAAATGGATGAGCTAAAGCTGTTGCTTGGTCTTTAGGAACAAGAAACTCAATGGAGAAGTTAGTGGTGGGGGTGGGGAGGGTAAAAAGTGGAACACTGGTTTATAAACTGGGGAAAATCCTGCCCTTCAGGCACTGTCTCACATTAGGGGTGCCTCCTGATTCAACTCACCTGCCTCCTGGTGAAAAGCCAAACCATGGTGTGGGAAAATCAGAACAGCAAGTTCTCTCTGGGTCAAGGTGAGGACCAAAGGACAGTGGAGAAATACTCAGAATGAAAACTGGAGCCCAGGACTGGAAAAGTGCCCCTGCCAGATAATGCAATAGCAGTGAGGAGACTGTAGGAGAGAGGAGAGAGTGAAGATCGGAGGATAAACACATATCATTGAGACTTTTGGAGACGAGCTTGTCTGCCTCTCCTTTCCCTGTCCTTCCTTCCTTTGTTCTTTCTTCCTTCCAACTTCTTTCCTGTTTTTCTTTACCAGCGTGGGTGTGTTTGTATTTAAAAAGAAGGTCCTTGATGACTGCTTTTTCTCGGAATCCTGTTTCTTCTCAGTGAAGTTTAAGTGGGATTGAAGTTGCCTTGACTTCCGCCGTGCAAGGAGTTTCCAGATGACAGTGAGAGTCACAGAATGACACCTTTGATATCACTTGGTTCTTACAGGGTCCTGAGTAGGGATCATTATCTACCACCCACCCTGAGTGGGCGATAGGCTAATGGGTGCATGTGTGTTTTTACACTTTCCAGATTGAGCTTTGTACAGATCATAAAACGCCCTCTTCTCCTTCGCCCTCCCTTGGAATTCCCTCTACTTGGAAGGCGTGCGGATGCATATGTGTGCGCGCCTGTGCGTATGTTCAGCAAAAGTGCTTGGAAGAAGCGACCTTTCTTTCCACGCGCTCCCAGCTCTGTCTGTAGTATTTCTCCACCACCACGCGTCTCGAATCTGTCCGCAGCTGAAGTGCCTCTCCACGCGGATGCGGACAGGCTGTCTCTGCACTACACTGTCCAGGGAGCTGACGCTTCGGGTGTTCTCAGAAAGACGCCTGACTTCCTCCCGTAGTAACGAGCTCTCCCCGGAGTGTAGGAGGGGTGGTTCCTGCGGGCTTGTGTGTGTGTACCACTCTGAGCTCGTAGGTTTCCTCTCCCAGCACAGTGCAGGCAGAGCCGGCAACGTTACTCTCCAAGCAGCCTCCAGCAACGCAAGGCAACAGCAGCCTCCGCCTCCTCAGTGCGTTGATTGGCTGTTTTTGCTCATCGGTTCCCTGCTAGGGAAAGGGAAGGGCCAGTGACGACCCCGAACCCAGCTGCAGAAGCGGCCGTCACCTTCAAAGCACACGGTGTCTCGTCTTTAAAGAAATCTGAGCCCTAGGGGAGGCAGCGCAGACCGACCCGGCAGGGCTGGCACGAACCGCGAGGAGAGCGCTGGGCAGCGCTCGAGCACCAGCGTGAGCGCGGCTGCAGAGGACCCTGCTGACCTGCTCCTGAGATCCCGGCTCCAAGCTCTCCTCACGTTTTACAGATTCCGCCCCCCACCTCCCGCGACTGTATCCCCGAAAGAGGAGCTTTTACATTCAGAGAAGGTGCGGGAACTGGGGCAACCGCTACTTTCCTGGGCACCCAAGATGCGCTCCATTAGGAAGAGGTGGACGATCTGCACCATAAGTCTGCTCCTGATCTTTTATAAGACAAAAGAAATAGCAAGAACTGAGGAGCACCAGGAGACACAACTCATCGGGTAAATGCAAAGCTTCATTTCAGGATATGACAAAAAGTCAAGCCGTAAATGAAATGTGAATATAGACAATAGAGTGCGGGTTGGGATCGCATGTATGTTCCTGTGAGCTCGTGTGTGTTTAGTCTCGTGTGTTAAATAACAAAGGCAGTTGTTGAGGTGTGTGTATGTGCTTTTCTAGGCATGTTCACAGTAAGAGTTCAACTTGCTGCTGTTTGGTGGCAGTGACAGTTGTGTTGACGCCGGGCTCACACTCCAAAGGGGAAGTCACGGCAGAAGTGTCAACAAAGAACGTGTGCCCTTGCTTTTTAAATCCGTGGCCAGAACTCAAGCAAGATGTCTTTATCCACCATCTGGTTTCCCTCCTTTCTCTTCCTTATCACTCTAGAGATGCTAGAGAAAGCTGGCTTTTGGTAGGGCTGAAGTTAAAGCCCCGAAAGCAGGAAATGTGTCTCCACCCTGCCTTTACTCTTTGGCGTGGGGTAGATCTGTGTATCTTAGTTTGGATTGGAAACTCAGGTACAACCAAGGATACTTTCTTATTTGCTTTTCCGTGGATAAAACGCATGGGTGTCATGGGTACAGTTTTAGAAACTGGGTACTTTAGCTTCTTCACAGTCTATATTTCTCTCCCCCCCTTTTTTTTTTTGTCTAGATGAGTTCAAAATTTCCCCCCACCCCAGTAAGTTCTCTAAATATCACACTTCCTTCCTCCTTGCCCCTGGCCTCGATGTTTTTGAAGTTTACCCAGTGGGGTGGCTGCAACTTCGTGTTGCTTACATGGCTTGGAAGCGTTTTCTGAGGATGTGAACCTGGTTGTCAACTGTGTTCAAAGTCCTCTTTTGGAAATCCTCCCTCATCCCGAGGCGTCCGCTGCCGGAAACTCCACAGGGGCAGAGATGCCTGCTTGGGTTTTATTTTCCTTGACATTTATGAGAATGAAGTTAGAATCCTGCCTCGTGTGTGTGTGTGTGTGTGTGTGTGTGTGTGTGTGTGTGTGTGTGACATAGGACTGCTAAAACGTGCACAAGCACACGAACTTCTTGCACTCCATTTGTTAATATTCCTGTTCCTCCCTAAGTAATGAGCATTCAAGTGAGCAAGTCACAGGCTTATCCTTATAGAAGGAATTGCTGTTGTATAGAAAATTGAGATAGCAGTAAGTACAGTCGAAAGGAACTGGAACGGAATGAAAAAGCTAGTAAGGAACGGCCTGGATGGTCGTTATGCACCAACAAATCTATATATGGTCTGTTGGGGGGGGGGGGGGGGGAATGCCGAACTCTATGAGGTCGTTTACGCTGGGAGTGGGTGGGTTGCAAATGTGACCTAGCTCAACAGTCAGAAAAGAAGGGTTTTGGGCGGGGCGTGAGGGCATCCCCGTCCGACCTGCGCTTCCCAGGCAGACAAAGGGGTCTTTGGGGAGGTGATGAACCGGCGCGTGGAGGAGAGGCGGAGGCTTGGGAGGGGGGGTCGAAGCTCTTTGTTCGCTTCCGGGCTGGTGGGCTCCGAAGACAAGCCCGAGCCAAGACAAAGCGGCCAAGCCTCGCCAGGACTCCGAGGGTTCGGGCCCACAGCTCGCTAGCTGTAGAGCAGTAGTGGGCGGGACGAGTGAAGCGAGAGAAGGCACTACAAGCTGCCAAAACGCCCCCTCCGGGCCTCCCAAAACAGGCGGGCAGGAAGGAAGCGCGCACCCAGGGTCGAGTCACTCCGGGGAAATAATAGACCCGGGACGCTCCGCATTTCAGGGGCGATGTTGCTCCTGTGGCCCTTGGCGGGACACCGCGCGAGGTGGGCTGCCCAGAGCGCCGGGGAAGAGGGGCGGGAAGGCACCAGCGCTGCGGTTAGGCTGGCACGGCTGGGTTTCCCTCGCACCCTTTTCGGGTTGAGCTGCAGTTTGTTCCCTGCCCCCCCCCCCTCCGGGAAAGCCTGGGGCGAGCGCTGGGTTTAATCACCAGGAAGCGAGGTGAGCTCCAGGTCTGTCCTCCCCTCCCCAGAGCTGGGAGTGGGAGTGGGAGAATGAGTGAGGGAGGGCATGGGGGCGATGCCTTTATTGCAGGGTCAGGCACCCTTAAAAGAGCATCGCTTTTCCTGCTCAGCCTGCCACTGAGCTCCTCCTCCTTAATTAAAACCCGCAATTACAGGTGTGTGGGACCAGGCAGAGAGCAAGCTGCCGGCGTTGTGCGTCTGTTAGTGCAGCGCAGGGTCCTAGGTGGGCGCCACTGGGGTCTTCCCGGACGTGGGCAGTTGGTGCTGCGGGGAGCAATGTCAGGGCAGCCAGGCTTCACTCAGCATAAAACGTTCAACGGAAAAGCTTGTGATACTAGTTCATGATTTCGATTCGCGAATAGTGCTTCTGGTGGAGGAGTTGACTCATCAAACTATGATTTTGTTGACTCTACCCAAGCCACGTGGAGGGTCTAGTTTGGAGATGAGTAAACTAGAATGGAGTTGTGGGCCCAGAGCCCAGGCCAGTTTTCACGAGTGAGGTAAGAGACGCAGTCTCTGACCTTTGGGGGGCACTGCATGCCTTCTGAGTGGGCAGTAGATTCAATTAACGGCCTTCCATAATGCTCATGTTTTAGAACATCCCCCTAAATTCACATTTAGCTTCCTTGCTACCATGTTTTAATAGGCAGACAGTTTCTTTGTCTACTGGACTTCTGCTTCTCTTAACTGAAGGTCCCATCTACAATCACTTACACGCAGTACTAATCTGACACACAATGTCGAGCACTCATTCCACTCAGGACAGAGAGCACCAACACAACTTCCCTACCTACCATCCACACTCTCCTATGTCCACAGGAATACTAGCAGCATGGTTTTTATAAGGGACCGTTTGAGAAGACATCTAGTAATTACTAGACATTTAAAACTGATATTTCCTTCCATGCAAACCTATGAGTTGCCTGGCATGATACCAGTTAGTAAAGTTGAACTTAAAGGGCATTGCGGGTATGAAGTGGTCTACTGTTGACTGACATTGTTCTTAATGGGAAAAAGTGGCAGTTGCCTCACAATTAGCCCATGGCTTCACTAGCTCTTTGTGTGCTATTTGAGTATAATTGGAAATTTGTTGACTTAGGTATCCTACAGGTAAAAATATGTGGGCATGCTTATTTAGTGAGATAAAGTATTTGAGAGTATAACAGAAGATTTAATATCACACAAGCATTTGTTTTGATTGCCATTCCTTAAAATTTACCAAGTCCTAGTTCTATGGTTGACCACAAATGAGACATTAAATTACATTATTTTGTCATCTAGACATTTTTTTTATTTGACTGTATACCTTATGTTGTATTACCAGTATTGGTTCTGAAACTTTTGACGGGATTGACTGTGAAGATAAGCATTCATTCTTAGACTACTAGCATTGTTGGCAAAGTTACTTCCAGATTGTTCTACGATAGAATACACTCTCATAAATCAGAGAACCGAGAACCTATGCTTTACTTCACATGTTCCATTTGGAACTCTGCAGAAACCATAAAGCAGTAAGTTAAGGTAGTATGTCTCTCATCTTTGTTTGTGGTTGTTTGACACAGGTAATTAAAACAGAAATATGCTTACCGTTTGGGTTCAGGCTGAGTTGGATGCAATTTATTTTCTTTTAAATGACTTTAAAAGTATTCTGTTATGGAGGAGATTTAACCTAGTCCAAAGGAGATACATTCATTCCTAAACATATCATAAAGAGTTTCTCAGAGTGGGTAAATGCAATGCTTTTAGGATCTAATTTCATAAAACAAAATTAATCATATTTTTATATGCTGTAGAATTAATTGAACAAATTAAAGTGATGCCTGACAACTCATATTTCAAATAGAAAAATATTTGTAAATATTAATAACATAATTATTGATTATTTATGTCACCAGTATTGCATAGAGGAATTGTAAGAGGGTTTCTCTTAGTTCCATATAAGCAGGAACACTTTATAATATATATTGCTTTATGCTGCATGATTTACTTGATGTATCATGTAATTTTCCTATAAAAGTGCATGTTGAATCTCTATATAGCAAGGATGCAAGACGTGTTTTTAGTGTAGCTGTTAAGTAATTATGTCTGATACGGAATCAGAAACTAGTAGAGGGGGTGGTAACATCCTTCATGCCTTGTATTCGCAGGAAGGAAAAGCCTTTTCTAAAACAGGATGCTACCAAGGTCACAGGTGAAAAACCTCTTGGGATCCATTTAACTTTATGCAAAGGAATTTGCTCCAGAGCCTCACATTGCACTAAACCCATACAGGAATTTCATTGACTCCGAGAAATTAAGTAGTTGTAGCTGTTTTCATTCAAAGTCCTTTCCAGTGATAGAAAACTGAAATTTGACTTATCAGTTCAGTGAAAATAATGCAAACAGCATAGTAACATAGTAACATTTCATTACTATAAAACTGATTTAGCCCTAGCTGGTGTAGCTCAGTGGATTCAGCATGGGCTGTGAACCAGTCGCCGGTTCAATTCCTGGTCATGGCACATGCCTGGGTTGCGGGCCAAGTCCCCCAGTGGGGGCTACATGAAAGGCAACCACACACTGATGTTTTTCTCCCCTTCTTCCTCCCTTTCTCTTGCTCCGGCCCGCGGAGCAATCAACTGGGGCTCGACCACCTATCTAGAACAAATGGGTTGGGGGGACAAGAGGCGCGAAGAATGGCAGCAAGACATAAGATTCTGATCAAGCTGCAAACTTTATTTTTCCGAACTGGGTATATATATAGGGGGGGAGGGAGAGGAAGGAGATTAGGTTGCTTGCTATTGGCTAGCTTGAGACAAAGAAGGGCCCGCTTATTGATTACTTGGGTGCAACTGGTACTCGTGGACACCTCATGTGCCTGTAGCTGATTGGCTTGTGGAGCGCATGCACACTTCATGTACCTGTAGCCGATTGGCTCATGGAGCGCACAGGTTCCCGTAATCAACGCAATGTTTTTAGCTAGAAGCCAGGTGTAAGGTTCCCAACATTCTCTCTCTCTCTCCTAAAATAAATAAGTAAAATTAAAAAAATAAAACTGATGTAAACTTAAATCACTTAAAAAATTCTGAATTTTTTATTGTGAAAAAAGCTCTAGAAAGCTCAGTAAAAGCTCTATACAGCTAGGTACATCATAACAATCATTCTGCCACGTAAAACTGTATCAGTATCTCTACCAGTAAAACAATCTTGGTGGGTATTTAAACAATGTCAGCCTGTGTATATTTTTAACTTTATAAAAATTTACTGATAATGAAAATAATTGCCATAACCATAGTAATCTGTGGTTAGAAAAATGATATGAACAGTCAGTTATTAATAAAATGAAGACTAAAAAGATTCCTACCCCTAGAAATGGTGAGAGCTTGTATCATACTCTTAAAGGCATACCTCCAAGTGTAAAGATTAAATTCTGTGTATATCCACATTTTCGTTCCCATGTAGTTATTATCATTAGAAATGTAATATAAAAATAGACTTCGGGCAACTAAGTAGTAAATTGCTTCAAATGTTTTCTTGCATCCTGTATGACCTCTAGAAATGATTATTATTAGTTATGCATAAGCATGCCAATGTATCATTTTCATCAGTAGGGTTGTTTAAATATTAAGTTTTAGAGAAAGTAGTTGCATGTGATGTTTGGGTTGCTTCAGACTGGAAGTACATGTTTAAAAAAAAATACAGACCAAAATACCAAACTATGAGCCTCCAATTACAGAGTTCATCGAACAGCAGTTACACAAGCCGTGTTTCTATTGATGAGGGAGAGGGTTGCCTACGTAATAAACACATTTAAACTTTCTGATTGAGCAAATAGTCATGTTGCTTTTTAATTATATTTTTGAAATTCTAAAAAAAGATAATATGTAAGGAAACAAATGCAGATGTTGAAAGGGCTATGCCATTAGCAAGTGACTTTTAGATTCTCTAAGTCTGGGTTTACACCTATAGAGTACCAAGACAGTACTAGTTCAACTAGTTCAGCTATTAGTAATATTCTAATGGCATAAGTGTGGTCATAGGTATCTATTCCTATCATCATTCTTTCTAATATCCCAGTTACATGACATCCTTGCCTGAGACTATTGATTGAGGGCAGTAGCAGAGTTGATTCCTTTGATTTAATAGAAAGTACCAGTAATAATGTCTACTCGGTGAATTTTCCCCCTACCACAATCTCTTCCTCCTCACCACCACCACCAGGAAAGTGTCTTTTGTTGGGATGACGCAACAGTAATTTTAGAAATTAACACGTCAATACTGCTGTATAAATTTCACATTCAGAGTCCCACTTAATCCTCACAAAGTCATTGCAAATTAAATAATGCTATTGCAATTTTCAAGGTAAAAATAAGGGCTTAGTGGCTTAGAAAAATATATTGTCCAAGGTCATACTGGCTAGCAAGTGCTAGAATCACCAACAAGTCCAGATCACCTGATATTCCAAGGTCCACTTAGTCCAAAACAAAAGCTCTTTCCATTGTGTGTATGTGCCCTTTGTGAAAATAAGATGACAATTTTGGGAGTCTCAAGTAGACAGGTACAGAATTGGCCAAACATCCGGTCTCCATTGTCTGAACACAGTGAGTGGGTAGGGATGGGCTAAAGGGGAACAGAGCTTTTTGAGAATTTTTTTCTTTAAATGCCACAAAAATCCATTTTTAAGATTCTTATTTTTTAAATATAGGTAACATTGGTTTATGAGGGTCAATATTGGTTTATAACATTATGTAACTTTCAGGTGTATTTTATTATAATTTAACATCTGTATCCTCTACAGCATGATCACTACCAAAGATCTACTTTCCATCTGTCACCATATAATTGACCACTTTTACTCATTTCACTCCACCCCTCCCCCATCCATCTGGTGGTAACTACCCATTTGTTATGTGCTTCTATGAGTTTGTTTTTATTTTTTTGTTTGTTTGGGTTTTCTTCTTTACACATATGAGTGAAATCATAGGGCACTTGCCTTTCTCCATCTGACTTATTTTACTCAGCAAAATGTCTTCAGGATCCATACATGTTGTTACAAATGACGAGACTTTATCCTTGTTTTAAAGCTGAGTAGTATTTAATTTCGTGTTTGTATGTGTGTATCACATCTTCTTTACCCATTCAACTGTGGACAGACATTTAGCATTTAGGATATTTTTACATATTGTTTATTTTAAATAATGCTGCTATGAACATAGGGGTGCATAAGAGGGCTGCCCAGAAAAAGTTCAACCATTGTTAACCTAAGGAGAATGGTTTGCAAAACATCAGTGTAACCATCACTGCACTGGAATGCACAGACATGAGTGCACTGGAGAGTCCACTGGAATGCACAGACATGAATAATGATGACTTCACTGTACTAGTCAGTAGGGGCGGTAGATGCTGTTGAGTGAGCATGTGTACTGTGTGGCTATGGCATTCGGAATGACTGAGTAGAGCAACAAATCTGCATCAAATTTTACATTAAGCTCAAAATGCCTCTGCAGAAACTATTTGGATGAATCAGAAGGCCTCAGCTACGGGCATCTGTCGACTGGCACCTCCATCACAACAACACACCCACTTAGGCATCACATCTTGTGTAGAATATTTTGGTGAAACATCAAATGACCCAGGTGACTAAGCCCCCCTCCAATCCACATTTGGCACCCTGCAACTTCTGGCTTTTCCTAAAATTGAAATCACCTTTGAAAGGGAAGAGATTTCAGATTGTCAGTGAGATTCAGGAAAATGTGACAGGGCAGCTGATGGTGATTGGGAGAACTGTGTGAGGTCCCAAGATACCTACTTTCAAGGGGACTGAGGTGTCATTGTCCTATATACTATGTTTCTTGTTTCTTGTATCTTTATCAGTAAATGTCCTTATTTTCCATATTATATAGATGGATACTTTCTAGACATAACTCATATATCTTTTCAAGATAGTGTTTTCATATTCTTTGCGTAATAAGCCAAGAGTGGAATAATTAGATTATGTGGTAGTTCTGTTTTTAATTTTGAGGAATCTTCATACTACTTTTCATAGTGACTATACTAATTCACAATCTAACCAACAGCATACAAGGGAATCCCTTTTCACAACATCATCTCCAACACTTGTTTTTTGCCTTTTAGATAATAGATATTCTGACAGATGTGAGGTGATATCTCATTGAGGTTCTGATTTTCATTGCTCTAAAAATTAGTACTGTTCAACATCTCTTCATATGTCTGTTGGCCATCTATATGTCCTCTTCAGAAAATATTCAGGTCCTCTGCCTATTTTTAAATTGAGTTATTTTTGCTTGTTAAGTTGTAAGGATTCTTTATATATTTGGGTATTAACACTTTATCAGATGTATGAATTGCAAATACCTTTTCACATTTTGTAAGTTGTCTTTTTGTATTGTTGATAGTTTCCTTTGCTTTCAAAGCCTTTTTTTCCTATGAAATTGGCTATATTTTATCAGGACAAAATAATTGTCCTAATAAAATCATATTCACTCAACCTTTATAATACTTTTTATCATGGTCATATCTCTTCTTGTAATGTGTAGAAAACATTGTATTATAATTTTCCACTGGTAATCTAAATCAAATTATGTATTATGCTACTTAAGATGCTTCTTACTTTCACAAAGCTGACATTTTATTTTGTTTCAGAGATGGTGAACTGTGTTTGAGTCGATCCCTTGTCAATAGTTCTGATAAAATCATTCGAAAGGCTGGCTCTTCAATCTTTCAGCACTCTGTAGAAGGTTGGAAAATCAATTCCTCATTGGTCCTGGAGATAAGGTGAGTTTCTTTAATAAGGCAGAATACATGGGGCTTGGCAAACTTAGATTGAATGCTTAATTTATAATTCAAGTATGAATACTTTAATATGAGTTAAACAGCTCTACTAAATGTTACTCATTTAAAAATATGAAACCATAAAACTGAAATCATTATGCAGTCAGAAATTTAAGGATGAATGTGTGAGTTGGAATATATTGTCTCCATACTAATGGAATAAGATATTTAAGTGAGTACTAATATTTAACATACTTTTCTTTTCTTCACTCAATTACTCTGGATAGCCATATATTTTGAGAATTACCTTTAACTTCTCTATTAAGTCTTCATACGGATCTTGAGTTTTATAACACTAGAAAGAAATAGAACCCATTGACTCCTATTTTGCTGATAAATATATATAAATTTGACTTACTCTATCAATGGGTATTTCTATGTGAGCTCCTGTAATCAAAGTGTTAGTATTTATATACAAAACAGGTAAAAATCAGAAAATAAACTTTATGGAGTGCTGGTTTATTCTTTGTAACATTTTAGCTGAAACAACCTCTTGAAATCAATGTTGGTGCTTACATATGTCCATTATACCTTATTTTCTTCAATTATAATCATTATTACTGAAAAAAAGGTAAAGGTAGACCTTCCTAATTATGGGGAAAGCAAGCAAATAATTTTCCTCTAAGTTACTTTTTGTGTTGGTAGGTAGATTTTAATAAGAGCATTTTATTAAATCAGAACTCTTTTTAAAAGTTCAAGAGAATGACCATCCTTTGTGCAATAAAATCATTAAATGTGTCTAGTATTGGCAAAATGATAATTATCCAATTATTGGATATTAATACAGATTTTTGAAGTGTAGTTAGTGGTTAAGAGGATGAGCTGCTGATATGTTTGGGTTTCTATCTACTCACTTCTTGGATTAGACCCATATATAATATGGATTATAAGTAAATTAAAGAATGAATATATACACTCATGTTTAGAGTGTGCATAGCAATTCATAGGATTAATGGCAGCAACAGCACCCATTACATTTTGAAATATACTTGAAACAATATCTGGAAATTAAAGAGATGGGTCAAGCAAATGTAGGAATGGTTAGAATATTTTGTTTTAAAGTTTTGGCAGTGGCTAGAAAGAGAAAATGGTATCACATCACAGTTATATCGAGTGGTGTTATGTTTGGTGCTTTCAATTTAGGGAGAACATTGTGTATAGGTAGGTGGAACACAGGTAGTGAACATAAGTAGAATCTGGTGGCAAAGTTTATAAATTGGTGTCTTCTTTGATAGAATGTGATAAGCAAAGCAAGATTTATTTAAATTGAATAGGAACAAAAGCCAATGTTAAAAGTTCGGAGATTCTTTATGAAAAGAAGTAGTTTCATTACTCTTGAAAAATGGAAAACTTTGACAACTCTGGATTCCCCTTTTGAGCTCTTTGGCTGAAGCAAACACTAGGCATGGTTTCTCCAGGCTGACATTTTTACTCCCAGGTCTGCCTTCTCTCATGACACCTATCTGACATCTTCCACATTCTCTCACACCTTAATGCCCACATTGAGTTTAGAAACCCTGTATGATATGGATAATTATGAGAAAAAAAGCTTCACAATGTTGGACTAGATGGGCTCAAAAATACAGGTGTGGTTTAGATTAGAACAGAGTAAGGATTCATATTTCTTGGAGGTAAATTATAAAGAGAGAAGTATGGGTTATTATAAAAAATATTTGCAGCATTATTCACAGTAGCCAAAACTTGGAAACAACCGAAGTGTCCCTTGGTAAGTGAGTGGATAAAGAAGATGTGGGACATATATACAATGGAGTACTACTCAGCAATAAGGAGAGATGAAGCACTGCCATTTGCAACATAGATGGATCAGGAGGATATCATGCTAAGCAAAATAAGCCAGACAGAAAAAGTCAAGAACTATTTGACTTCAATCACATGTGGAATATAAAACTGAAAGCAACAAATGAACAAATAAGACACATAAACAAACAAAATCTTACAGACACAGGCAACAGTATGGTCGTTCCCAGAAGGAAAGAGGAGTGAAAGAGCTCATAAAGGATAGAGAGGGTCAAATACATTTTGACTGATGGAAGAGGCATGACTTTAGGTGGTAAACACACAATGCAGTATCATAGGACTATGCACTTAAACCTATATAATTTTATTAACCAAATGTCATTCTAATGGTATTAACAATAAGTGGATAAATAAAAAGGAAATATTTAGTCTACAAGGATATCTCAAAGAGACCTTTAAAATAGAGTGATTGGCAAAAGGGGGACAATTAGATAAGGCTATGCAGATCGGGTAATAGAATGTAATGGAAGAAAGCAAAGTAAAATAAGACATTATAACAGCTTAATTAATGTACTAGACATGCTAAATAATATACAGATAAAATAAAATCTAACAAGTAAATTAAATAAGTAATTGGTAATTTTTTAATTAATATACCTGGTCGTGCCTTCCCAGTATCTATACAAAACTGAATAAATACTCTGTCTTTGGCCAGGTGACTTAGCTGGTTGGAGCATCATTCTGTGAACAAAAAGGTTGCAGGTTCTATCCCCAGTCGGGGCCCACACTTAGGTTGTTGGTCTATCCCTGGTAAAGGCGAGTAGAGAAGGCAACTGATCCCCGTTTTTTTCACATCCATCTCTCTCTCTCTCTCTCTTTCTCTCTCTAAATCAATAAACATATCCTTGGGTGAGAGAATTAAAAAATGAATACTGCAGGTATACATGAGATTACCGGGGAATGTTTTGCTATTTTTAAGATATTCAAGCTAACGGTATTAAAGATAAATTAATCTAAGCAGTTCATTATTGCAATTTTACAAATTAATGAGAGTTGCATTCATATCTTTCAGGCTGATCTATTTTCAATTATAACAGCTGATTAATATGTATGAAATATTAGTATTCTTTTACATGATTCTCCTTAACAGATAAAGAAATAAACAATAAAACAGTGAGCAAATATTGAACAATGCACATGAAGTTGTCATTTCCTTACAACAAAATAATAATTTGTAAAACCATTATTGTGCAACATGCAAACAGTCCATTAAAATTATAATTGCTTAGAGCAGTGGTGACTAATGATTATTAATCAGCTTGACACTTGTAATAAAAAATTTACAATACAAAAATGTCTTATTGTTAGCTTATCTTTTTTTTAAAGTTATACTGAAAACTAATTGTAAAGTATTTTGCTTTAGATTATTTTTTCTTTGTTTTTTTCTTCACATCTATAGCATTTATGAAAAACCTTATTACTTTGTGTCGGTGAGTGGGTGTGGACATATTTTACAGGTGTTTTCAAAATTCTTTGATGTCTCTCTCTTATCCTTCCTCTCTCAAAAAAAACAAATCAATGAACATGTCCTTGGGTGAGGATTTTTAAAAAGATTAGTACTGTAGTTTTTTAATTAACACAGTAAAATTAATCATTTTATCTTACATGATTGAATCATGCTTCCAAGCCTTTTTTGTTTTAAAAATCTCATTAAACTTATAACACTCTTGTGACATTCCTGAATGTCACAAGATTTATAAATATATAAATATATAAATTTATAAATATATAAATATATAAATTATATAAATTTATATAAATATATAAATTATTTATATATTTATATTAAAATGTAAAGTAATCACTGAAGATAAATTGTTTTTCTTTATATTTATAGACATAATTTTCTTTTTTATCATTCATTCTTTCAGCCCTCTATGTACTCTGCTACTTTCATAAGCATATCAAGGATAGATTCATATATATTCATCAAAAAACCGTATCACTGGGGAGCTGTCCAAGAGAGATGGTTTCATGTATTAGGTCATTGCACTTTGAAGGTTCATCATGATTTAGGGGATTTTATTCATTTTATAGCTAACTTCATAATTAAAACAATTAGCTTGGTTAAAGGCTTGCCTTCATTGTTACTAATTTATTCTTTATTTATTATTCTAAGCTAAGAAATAACACACTTAAGATGTTGTAAGTAAATCTGTGAATATTATACTAAGGTATCATTTGGTTATGTCCAACATTTGTGACTTATTTTTGTTTTTTTCCATCTTTAAGTTGTTTCTTATTTGTCTTTTTTCTTATTTTTCATATGTTGAACTGAAATGTAAAAAATGGCAATACCAAATGTAGACGTATGGACATGTGTGAGCTCAGCTACTCATCAGGACAGATTAAGTGTGTAATAATGAGTCAGAAAAAATATTTTCAACTCTTAATGTTACTATATCAAAGTTTCTTTTTCTTTTTTTTTTTTTAAAGACTTTTTTCTTTTTTTTTTTATTTTTTTTTTTGGGGGGGGGGAAGGAGAGAGGGAGAAAACATCAATGTATGTTGCTTTTTGGCACCGGACCGGGCAAAAAGCTAGCATGTCAACTAAACATAACTGCAAATTTAAATGTTCTTATCTATAAAAATGAATTCGCTGTTGCTTCATTGATTTTCTTGTTTTTATTTTCTTTTTTATATTTTATTGTCTATGCTATTACAGTTGTCCCAGTTTTTCTCCCTTTGCCCCCCTCCACCCAGCACCCCCCACCCCCACAGGCCATCCCCATACCATTGCCAATGTCCATGGGTCACACATACATATTATTTGACTAATCCCTTTCCTTTTTCCCACCACCCCTCCTCTCACCTCCCCTCTTTGAGTTTCTTTAGAAAAAATTTTTACAAACACTTCTACTTATTTTGTTCAGTAAGTGACCAGTAGAACACATTGTCAGTCACACAGCGTCACGATGGCCTAGTCAAGCTACAAAGTCAGGCGCGTCTAATTGGAAAACTGTTCTTTAATACTAAAATGTATTTCATTAAATGCATGTTTATGAAGTAAACAATAGTTTTATACATTAAAATGAGGACCGTGACCAGAGGGGAGAGGGAGAGAATTTCAGGAGAAAAGGGGAAGGGTTCACAGGAACAAGTATAAAGGACACATGGACAAAAAC